CATTCCTGTTCACCCTGTATACTGCAGACTTTAAATACAACTCTGAGTCCTGCCACATCCAGAAATACTTGGATGACACAGCTATTGTGGCTCAGGAATGGGCAGGAAGAGGAGTACAGAGATCTGATGATGGCCTTCAGTGAATGGAGCGACAAAACTGCCTCCTTCTGAACACCTCCAAGACCAAGGAGATGGCAATGGACTTTCGGAGGTCTAGGCCCACCCTTCAGCCAGTCAACATTCGAGGGAAGGACATTGAGGTGGTGCACACTTATAAATACCTAGGTGTGCACCTGGACAGTAAACTGGACTGGTCCCTGAACACAGATGCCATCTACCGGAAGGGGCAGAGCTGGCTCTTTTTCCTCAGTGGGCTCAGGTCCTTTGATGTTTGCAGTGAAATGCTGAACACGTTTTATCAGTCAGTGGTGGCCAGTGTACTCTTTTATGATGCAGTCTGAGATGAACATAAAAGAGACTGGACAAGCTGGTCAAAAAGGCTGGGTCTGTGCTTGGCAGGATTCTGGACTCACTCAGGACTGTTGTGGAGAGACACATGCAAGGTAAGATGGAGGCCATCTTGGAAAATACCAACCATCCTCTCCACAACATTCTGGCAGGACAGAGAAGCAGCTGCAGCAAATGTCTCATCTCACTGTACTGCAGAACAGAGAGGTTCAGGAGATCCTTTGTTCCCACTGCGAGCAGGCTATAAACATCTCAGCCAAAGGAAGTGGACTAATCTAATTATCATTGTTTATTTATTATTAACTGTTTTATTATTATTATTATTATTATTATTATTATCAACAATTAGCTAATGGACAAATTAATTTCCCCAAGGGAAAAAAATAAAGTATCTATCTATCTATCTATCTATCTATCTATCTATCTATCTATCTATCTATCTATCTATCTATCTATCTATCTATCTATCTACTAAATTTGAAGATATTCCCTCAAAGCATTACAAAGATATCACATTCACAAGGATAGGCTGTATGGTCACACAGAGATATGGAAAGAACAACGTGAAAACATAATGCCTCTGGCCCTGGCTGTCGATGGTGTAGATATATAAAAACACAGACATATATTCTTATGCAAATCAAAACTTCAAATAAAACACCTGAAAAGTGTATGTTGGATCTTTAAACACATATGAACAGTTGAAGAAATCATAGCCTGCTGTCTATGGTATTACAAAATATTATCCTTTTAATCCATCTCTTTCTATCCTGCTCTTACTTACCTTGTTGGCTTATTTTATTTGCTTTAGCAAGGTGATGACTCTTCTCTTTTAAATGGTCTTTCTCATCTAGCAACTGTAAAAACTATCACACAGTTCTGATACACAGGAGAATGTAACATGCATAGCACTTTCACTGTCATCTAGTTTTGTGGTGTTGCTGGATATTTAATGGATTAAATCAAAAAACAGCTATAAATCATCCGATGCAGAGATATAATCAGATTTTGAAGGTAGGCTGATGGAATATCAGTTTCTGGCAATGAATTTAAAATAAATGAATAAAAATAAAAACGAACTAGAGACCATTTTGCACTGGGATCACAACACTCATGGCATCCCCATCAACATGTTGACATTCTGACCCATGAGTACTCATTAATCATTATTATATTATTACACAAGTAGGCTACACACCCATCTTCAAACTTTGCCTTCATCTTGATCTCAAGTTCACTCACACAAAAAACTTTCGTGACTTGCAGTGACAATATCTGTCAAGAGACAAAACCTGCTGACAGTCCCTGCCTCAGTAGGTGTCTCAATGACCATTCATTTGACCATTTCATTTTCATAATGACACACACACACAAAAACTCACAAGGTGAAAACAATGACAGGCATCCTGTTATGGCTGGTATAAACAATATATAGATGCTGTATCTTTGAGGACATCTAGGCCAATGTGTTAACTGACTGCGTGGTCAGGTGTGGTTACATATGCAAAAGCTTTGGGCAGAGACTGACTGGTACGCCTTGCACTAATTGCACAGAGGGAGAGGAAACACACTTAGAACAACTTGAGTAAACAGTTATACAACACATTTCAACTTGGTGTTTGTGAGCATTTTTGTATGGTTCATTGCCAAGCCACTGGATTTAGATAAAAGCATGAGTAATATCTGTGTTATACATCAGTTTGTTACAGTATGTGAATGGCCAGACTAACCTGTTTGGGCACACTGAGGCAAAAATACCCCCCACCAATACCCACCTTCTTTGTGGGTAGTGTTTAGTTTTCCTACATTGGAATGTGCACAGTCCGACATATGATGTGTAGTTTTTGGATAGACACAACTTTGTGAGAAATATATAGACACCATGCTGTGTTATATTATCTTAAAACTAGATTTGACACAGGAACCATACGATACCTCAAGAACAAGCAGGTCCCATATTTTACTCTTTAGGCTGTGTGCATTTCTCCAAGGACTGAGCGCTTTGATACTTTCACAATATGAATATAGCTATTTCACCCAGACCTGCTTTATGAGCAAAAAAGACATGGAAGTCTCACTTTGTACAATTTGCATTTGTAGTTTGACTTACAGTTTGATGTGATTTATAATTTAACTGCTCTTTAATCAAAAGATTGTCTATCTTTTCTAAAGTATCCTATGTTTGTACAGAAGAAAAATATTTTCCATAACTGTTAGCCGTTAGCCCTTTAAAGGGAATAACTAATTTACCTTTACAAGTTTAGCTAACAAAGCCTTACTTAGCTAATGCTAAGTAGCTAGTGTTAGTGAAGTTTGGCAGGAATGCCGTTCAGTAAGAGACTGAAGGAGCACAAATGCAGGTGAGAGTAATCCAATTCACCATTGCTTTCGCTTTATGTTTTCTCATCTCAGTCTAATTCACTTTACATGTCATATTTCCACACAGAAAATAGCATACAATTGACGGCCGAGTATTTAAAATAAGTGGGAATCTGTTTAAGCTATGGCCGGTTAGCTCAGTTGGTTAGAGCGTGGTGCTAATAACGCCAAGGTCGCGGGTTCGATCCCCGTACGGGCCAACTGTAATTTTTGTTGCACCACTAGTTTGATCATTCCTTTATCTACAATTAAAAGCCTTTTTATTTCAGTTGATTGTTTTCCACCACAATCATGCTAGTTAGCGTAATCAAACATGGCCAACTATAGGGAAGTCCCAAGAACAGTATACCAAAATTGTACAATGATGTCCTCAATGGGAAACAGTGATTTCTATAATCATTCCGTAATTACATGTAAATCAATTTAAACAAGCCTACATATATCGAAATGATCAATAAAAATAACATATGATGATGTCACAATATTGGTTAAGTGGTTCCATGGTGTAATGGTTAGCACTCTGGACTCTGAATCCAGCGATCCGAGTTCAAATCTCGGTGGAACCTATGATTTTTTTTCTCTAAATGAGGTGAATTGACCATCTTCATGTTTCACTCAGAAAAAAAAGATTTATTTTCCTTTTTATGTTTATTCACAATCAACAATACAAACCACATTTTTCTTACAAAATATACCACTTGCAAATGTAACTGAAATGTTAAAGCCTGTTAAACACCTAAACACTGATGAGATTATTATGTTTAATCATAATATGTTACAATTTACATCCTTTCAATGGTAAAATACATTATGTAACAAATCATATTCTCTAGCAAAATCTGCTTTTAAACCAATGAAACAGCAACCAAAAGGAGTAAACATCATGGTCTCATGTTAAGAATCCAGCACTTTCAAATATTTCTGTACTGTAATATCTATTTTAGTCAGATTCTCTACTATCACAGATGGGAATCATTTTAAATCAGGACAGTCTTTATCATGAGTTAGTGCTGCAGTGTCTGGCACTGCTGTACGTAAACAGATCTCTGGCTGCAGACACCACAAAAGACTCCCTCATTCATTTTTTCTGTCTTTTCTTGGTTGTTGCTGCCCCCTTCTGGTGTGAACCGGATCCTGTATTTCTGAAAGAAAGAAAGAGATGTTAATTTAAAAAACAACAAAAAAACATAATTTAGTTCAGTTTAGTTTATTTATTTATTTGACAGGGACATAGTTCAAAGCAGGGTATGAAAGTGTGTACCTCCTCAGTTACTATTATTACTATTACTATTATATATATCAAAAAGACAATTTGTTCACTTACTTAGGAAGTTTGTCTGGGGCCTCAGGATGAAGAATGACCACTTCCTCCTCTTCGCTGTCAGATATTTCCACCACATCTCCTATAAGTCAAAAATAAATTTCCTATTTATGTCACAGAATAATTATTAATATAATTATATGTTGGACAACAAATGTTTTTGCAACACTTTTGTAAATTTTACTTTCTCAGTTTTATGTGTGTTTATATTCTTTTCTTGTCTCTCTTTAGAAAAAAATCCTATCTACATAACTTTAACATGAAATTAAGATAAAAAAATTTTTTTTACCCCCTCTGTTCTCATCCTTTTTCTCTTTCATCTGTGTCTTTATTTCCTCCTGTTCTTCACCACTGTTGTCACTTTCCTCCTGCTCCTCCAGGCCCCAAGTGTTCTGCAGCCCCTGTCCCACCTGACCCACACCTGGGGCGGGCACCACTGGGGATGGGACCCTAGTATGTACAGTTAAGGAGCCACAGTGGATACAGTATGGCAAAGCATCAGAAAAAAGGATAAATATACATTTTTTGATGCAGTTGTTATCCGGCTCAGTTTAGGATACGTCTGAGGTGGGGCCTCAGCTTTCTGGACGATGTCATTGGCTCTATCTGTCACATCCATCATCTCAACTGGAGTTTCGTCCATTTTCAGAGCTGTGATTCGCTCCTGAGGAATAGACTCTGCAAAGCCACACCTACCACCTGCCTTCCTGAAAATTTAAACATACAGAGTGTTTATATATATATATATATATATATATATAGATGACCAAAGTTTAATATCTTAGTATGGCAAGGTGATGCTACTAGTCACCTGGCTTTCTTGTCATTGTCCAGGGCTTTGCTGATGAGTTCTGTGATTTCAGACACTTTGACGCTGGCGATTTTACTGCATCTCATAACCTTCAATACCAAAGACAGACATTAAATAGGTGAAAAATTATGTTTATATTGAATATGAAGGGAGTTGTGGAGAGCTACTTTTCCTAGGATTATGGAAGTCTGTAAAACACTATAATTAAGTTAGTAATCTCATCATGACTGCAACTCATATGATGACAATACAATACTAAGATTCAGAGTCCATTCACCTGGTCCTTGAGCAGCATGATGCCCCCGCTGGACTGGATGGAGCAGATTTCTCTGTGTTTGTTCATGGCGATCATCAGCAAGCCATCCATCACCCGCTCCTCCCGCTCACAGGGGTCCACCAGCAGATAAGTTCTGGAGAATGAAACGGAAATGTAGAAAGAAGAGTTGGTGCGAGGGAGGACAATACTCATCTCAATACTGGTGAGCAACATGGAAAGTGCCAGATACTGAGATAGGAGTATCTGGTGCAATATGAACTTGGCAAATGTAGGAGCCGAACTCATTTTTGTTTGTCATGTACAATGAATGCAACACAATAAAACAAGGGGTAAAAGTTGGGCACAGAGAGAGAAGGAAATGAAGTAATTTAATGCAAAAAAGAAAAGAAAGGAAGCACTGAAAAGAAGATGGATAGAGGGATTGTATATTTGAATTTTAAAGTAGAACATGTTGTGTTTGCATTCCTTCAGTTTCTGCAAGCATCCTTTCTATTATATATCCCCAGTATTTACATCATACTTTACCCAATCCAGTCTGCACGAACTTTGTCTATTTTGTCTATGTGTACTTGGAAAAAAACAAAACAAAAAACAAACAGAAATATTATATATATATATAATTGTTCTTTACTTAATACTGATATCATAACAGGAAACAGAAATGCCATGTAAAGTTCTGTATTGTCTGTCCTGTTGATACACTAACTCTATGTAAATTAATTTTTAGTTTCCTTTATAGATAATGAATACTTTCTGATCATAGTCCTAGCTCCGTCTACTGTTTTATCCTTGACTGCTGTTAAATTCTGGCATCTTTTTACAATATTATTAACTGTAAATGAAAATAGAGATTAAATGATTTTCTTTGATCCAAAAATACAGATGGGAAAAGATTTTTTTTTCTGCTCAGAGTAGTGTCTGCAGGTATTCCTTTCTTTCATAAACCCCAACAAACCCCACCTAAAAAACAACTGCTGCTAAAGTTAAGCTATTGCTTTAAGCACATGGTGATAACTGAAGGTGACTCAGATGAGTGTATGACTTTTATCAAGATTTTTTCTCATCTGTCCTACGGTGGCTGGACAGTCAGAGAACAATGTTGAGAGAGAAGAGTGAGGGGGACATCTCTCATTCCTCCCGTAGGGTGTAAATAGCTAAAGGCACTCTGACTCTCTTTTTTGTTACAGTTTTTAGACTGTGGTGGACACAGTTGGCAACATGTGTGTCATCAGAATTACAATTATCTGAGGAACAGAAATCTTAACATTTATTCACCTTTCACAGCAAACGATTGTTTTCTATTCAAATGTGGAGCCTTACCCTTGCTGGAAGAAGGAGAAGCTGACACTGATGGGCATGTGGTAGATACTGAGAGGAATAGGGTCTCTCTCCTCAGGACTGTACTGATGGAGAACAGGAATAAATACAAAATTACAACCAACACAAAGTAGAACAAAACATGTCCAAGAAAAGAAATCCCTTTTGGCAGTACCCCTACCATATAAAATTTGTCTGCATTAATATTTTTGTAAACTCGCTGTATTCGTGACTAATCAGTAGTTATCGGTAGTACACCAAGAAAGTTCCACTCTAGGTACTATCGGTTCAGTCATACGATGGAGAGGTTTGGTGTTTGCACCATCGGACATTTCCCTATAGATTCAGTGAAGCAGAGACACCACCTGCTGCGGTGGCTGCTGACTCACCACTGTGACTTCATCTCCCTGGATGCCGACATCAGGGCGTCTGAAGTGGCACAGAGCGGTGATAGCGGCAATGCTGGCAGCATCCATCAGGTTCCCATCATGATTCAACATGTGAACATCCACTCTGATCTGCCACACCTGATCTCACACACACACACACCATCATCACAATGGATACGGTGTATTGTTTCTTTCTTATCTTATTTTTTCTTCTGTATGTGAACTAACTTGTGTGTATGTATGTGTGTGTGTGTGTGTGTGTGTGTTACCTTTTCTCCAGACACCACACACAGGGACTCTGTATCAATGCACTTGGAGTTCCTCAAGCATCTCTCCAGCTGTCTGTTCAGCTTCACTGACAACTCAGACTGTCTGGAGAAAAAAAAGAAGCCCACAGATGATTTACACTTCCTGCAGTAACAGCTTGATTAAATTGACCAGACTCAGCACAACCGCAAATGCCTCTCGGCTCCCTCAAAACAAAAAGTTAAAATACAACTAGCAAATACATATAAGCACAATTTCTTTTGATTGTCCTCACCTGCCCTGTTCGAATGCCGGTGAGGCCATGGGTGACAGCTCGATGTTGAAGAACATGATTCCCTCATTAGGTCGATTCTCTTTAGGAGCCACCAGCTCACAGGACACCTGAGCCATGACCCTGTATAGAGCAGCCCATTGATAATCACAATTTAACAAAGACAGATTTTTATGAATTGGAAATGCTCATTTTGAACAGCATGAAAGCTTCTCTGAATTGAAAGTAGGTGTTAAACATTAATGGGTTCACCAGGCAGACATTGCAAAGACTTTAAAAAGATCTGGTCATAAGTTCACCTGGTTTTCCCCAGATCCACAAAGCAGCATCCATAGTCAGTGCCAAATGTTATCTTTATCTTCCTGTAGTCATATGTCTGCCGTCCGTCCAGGCGCTGCAGGGAGAGGACAGCATAGCTGAGTGTAAAAGGAAAAACTCCCACATAAAACAGCACTTTTTTGTTGCGCTACTCTGGGATATTTTATTGGGCATGGACAACTCTTCTCCCACAGCAGGCATCCATGACCCTAAGTCTGTAAACCCTGCCGAGTAATGGCACGAATAGCATCTCAATCTTTCAAACGGTGTTTCAAATGAGAGCATCAGTGGTGCCACTAGACCAAAGTAGAAACATGGGACATATTAAGAAACCAGCCCACCTTTTTCTCCTCGATGGCTTTAAGTAAGAAATCCCGCTCACAGTTGGACAAAGGTGTGTCCTTCATTATGTGGGTTTTTGTGTAGCTGACGATGTATTAGAATAATTTGTTTCACTACTGTAATGCCACTGCTCCGACAGGCATGTGGCCGCCATCAATATTTTCTGAACTCTACCCCGGAAGTGCATAAGACCTGCAATAGTAAAAGCAGGGGGGATATCTTTGTTTCACTTGGCTCACTTACAATTACTGTGAAATCACTGTTATGTTACCCTTCTTGTGATAATTAATTATGAACCAGATCTACGTTGGTGCTGTCTTCACGGAGCATTTTCTGTAGAAGTTAATGTTGATACGCTTTTACGTTGAAATCCTGGTGCAGAGTGAATGTCGGGTGCATTAGTGTGCTCATTGTAAGCTCGTAAATGGGAACTTTCCTAGTTGTAAATATTGACAAGTGTAGGACTTTCGAATCTTCGAATGTGTTCGAGTGTGTATCACTCATTCAAATGCTTTTGTACGGATTCCAAAATTGGCAAAGGATATCTATCTATCTATCTATCTATCTATCTATCTATCTATCTATCTATCTATCTATCTATCTATCTATCTATCTATCTATCTATCTATCTATCTATCAAATAAAAATAAATGTGAATAAATACAATGAAACGGTATCAGTAAAATGCCTCCGATACATCTTCTCTACCATTTCACTTACAGTTATTGTCAACAGCGTCGCTGTCTTCTCATACTATTGCTTACCGTTTCGGATGCACGTAAAGGCACCATTCACGCTTTCCATCAGCGAGAAGTGCGCATGCCCACTTGCAAGGACTCGCTCGCGCTCATCAACCGCGCACCGTTATCCAGGCCAAGCTGTCATCTACTGACCATCTTCTCCAGCCGACAACCGTGTCTCTCTCAGCCATACACGAGGGGCCTTGGTAAACCCCTCAGCGGGCCAAACGCAGAAGATACTTCCTCTTTTATTTCAAAGCGGAGAAACAGCGTTTACCCAGGAATTTTCTCTGCAGTTACAAGAAGGCACAAGGTTTGTTTGTGTGCGCTCATTCATTCTCTCCATCCCTCCCTGTGCGACATCACTGCTAATTTAGCGAGCTAACCGTTGCTATGCACTCATTTCTACTGGTAAAACAGATTACTTGGCCACGTTACTTAAAAATTATTTCTTTGCAGTTTGTGCTCTTAACGCCAGAGCACGTTTAATTAGTGGGCTCATTGTATAAATGATACATAGTTTGATAGCTAATCTTATGTTATGCTAACGTACGCTGCTTATGATTGGCGCGCCGTCCAGTTAGCTAGCATTAGCTAGCGGAGCAGGTGCTGCAGTCAGAGCCACTCATCTAAATAAAAGAGTTTGGACATTGCAGTGTTCCGTGGCAGCCATGTTAGCTGTACAGCCCTGTCCTCTGACCTTTTGTAGTTCTTACATCTATTCAGTGTTAAGCTTCTCTTGTATAGCGATGTAAATTAAATAAGAGCTTTCTGGTCATGTTTAATGTCAACTAGAGGCTGTTAAGGGATGTTGCCGCAGTACACTTGGACTATAACTGTGGTAAATAGGAGGGCTGAAACTAAATGTGAAATAGAAGCAGACGTCCAGACATGATAGCTGATTTTATTGGATGAGTTGCAGAATGGGGCCTGTACACACTGTAGAATTTCCAGTCAGCTCCCTTTAATACATTTGGCTGATGGTGATGATGATGATGATAATGATTATGATTGTAGCATGTAAGGCTAAGTTGTGATATCTGTCTCATGAGCAAATAGCCACAAGCTGATTCCCAGAATGGAAAAAAAATTTGGTATAATTATGTCCCCTACCCCCACTGATTTATCTTAAATTAAAGTATTACCCTTTTCATCTCCATAGAATTGTAAGCTGTTGGGTATGGTTCATTTAGCCAGGAAAGGTTTTGCCTCAAAAAGGTTCACTTGAGTGTTGAGGTTGTCATGATGTGCACACATTTCAAAAGCCATGCCTCTCTGAAACTTCCATCAAGTACTATTCCACGGAGTAGTTAGCTATATTACGGATGCAAACAAAAGTCCTTGGTTAGAATGGAAATCTCCTAATGTTGCTGGTTGAGAAGCACCTGTTCTCAACTAGGTAAAGTCAAGAAGGCTCTCAACACCCAACTGATATGAATGTGACCACTTAATATCTTGAACACATTCTGTGCAGTCAAAAGATGTTGCTCAAGTGAAAATATTCCTACTTCTTAGACACTAAGTTGATTTTAAAAAACTGCATCAAGCCTCTGAATTTTTTACATATCAATGTTTTGTGTATTTTCATATCACAATCCATTTTTTCAGCCACCTCCTCTTGTGTATGATGTGGCCAAGATTTCTCAAATGAATCCTTTTGATCCTCCTGCGCTCTGATGTAAGCATATAGGACAACGCAAGTGTGGGAATTAAAGTTAATTAGGAATTAAGGAAAGCATGCTGCTGTGCTGTCTGCAGTGATGCTTTTCATTTCCTGCTGCTCACAACAACAACGAGCAGGTGTGGCCTGATCAATAGGTCATTGAAGCTGTTGTTTGGTGTAATAGATCTCTGAATTGTACCATTATTCAGCAGGTTATCTTTACAGTTTCAAATGCATGTTATGGGGAACACATACAAGGATTGCAATCCTGTGCATGTACAAATGCAACAAATTAGGATTAGTAAGAATGTGTAGTGAAGAGGACGTAATGTAATTTCAAAGGGGCTATTTGTATGCTACAGATTTAAAAGCACATATGTTTTAACTATATTCCCTGAGGGATTTTGGCTTTGTTTTAATTAGTGGAAATGCATCACAGCAGAGAAAAGGCAGACTTAGTTGTTTTTTAAGGAAATAGTGCTAAATATGTGCGATAAGGCCCCACAAGTAGTCTTAAAGTAGCACTATACTAATGTGACCTCCATTTCTTCTGTTTTTCTCATACCCTCTCCCTCTCATCTCTCCATCCTTTTACGCACTTGCGTTCTCTATTTTTATCATTGACCCCTCCCCCCCATTGCTCTCTCCATAAATAACATCTATCTCACGCACACCTGCCTCTTCCTCCCATCCCCCTCCTTCATCCTCCCATACCACACCCTCCTCACTCACACCATACTCACCCCTAATCTCACACTCTCACCCTCCTGCTATGACCTCAACCCCCCACCCCCACCTCCCACAGATGAAGTTGGACAGGGGTTGGATGTGGCGCATGCTGCTCCTGTCCTCCCTGGCTGTGGCCGCAATAGTGGCCCAGGAGAGGCTGTCGGAGGCTGATGTCGCAGACCTCGATGAAGATTTGGGCTTGGATGAGGAATTAAAGGTTCTTATGGCAGAAGAGGAGGAAGAGGAGGAGGCAACAGTGATGGATGAAGAGCAGTCGGATGAGACAGATGACAAGGGCACAGCAACTGAGAAGGGTGGCAAGGCTGAAACAGATGCAGATGTCTCCTTCCAGGTTAGGAATGGGTCAGCTAAACCTTATAAGTGAAATATATTTTAAAAGATTTTGATCTAAGTAGATCAAACTTGGGAGTTGGTTGGAAAGCTCTGTATTTAGGAAAAATTGCCTCCTGGATGACAACGTCTGTTTTTGTTCCTCAGGTAACATACACGACTCCTGTTCCCACTGGAGACGTGTACTTCGCAGATACGTTTGATGATGGATCACTGGGCAGGTATTGCTTGACAAATTTTCTGCCACACGCTGTTATAAATGCATCATACATTTTTGATGCATGCTGGGACACATGAGCCTCCATTGGTATTGAGTGACCAGGATAAACTTACAGAATCGGTGTTCAAAGTGTGTTTGCCTTTTCTTGTGTGGATGTTAACTGTTTTGTGATGTTGATCTTCACAGATGGCAGCTGTCAAAGACAGTTAAGGGGGACGCAGATGATGAAATCGCCAAATATGACGGTTTGTTACTTTCTCTCTCTGCTAATGTAGACTTCAAATATGATCAGATCTCATCTGAGATGTAAATAAGAAAGATATTTACAACCATGAGTGTTAATTTTATAGTTTGGGCCATCAGTCCTATTGGTTATAACAACACTACTTGACAGCAGAATTGCTGAGAAATAAGGTCACAGTACCTCAACTAGAGACACTGAAAGTGTTTGCAGTGTTCTGTTGACTACACTAAAGCTTTTTCAAGTGACTGCAACAATACAACCCAATACCTAAGGTGTAGTAGTAGTAAAGTGAGAAGTAAAATATTATCAGAACCCATAGTCATGATAGCTATGGCCATAGAAATGAAACCCAGGTTGTTGAATGTCTGACCCTCTCCTCTCTGCCTGTAGGGAAGTGGGCTGTGGAGCAGTTGAAGGAGAACAAGGTTCCAGGAGACCAGGGCCTGGTGCTCAAGTCCCGGGCCAAACACCATGCAATATCTGCAATGCTGGACAAACCCTTCGTCTTCCAGGATGAGCCTCTGGTCATTCAGTGAGTTCAAACATGCATAGACACACTTTGCATCTAGTCTTTTTTTTTCCTTCATATATCCACTAACCAATGCAAGTGGATATGTATGAGTACCCATTTAAAATCTGTACTTCTTTACTGGTAACTTTAGAAATTGACGACCAGGACTTGTTGAATCGTGGTGTTGTGTTTCGGTTGTAGGTATGAGGTGAATTTCCAGGATGGTATTGACTGTGGTGGAGCATACATCAAACTGATTTCAGACACTGATGATCTCAATCTGGTTAGTATACATGTTTTATTCCAGTTTATTTGCTGAACTGGTTAAAAATTATCTAGATTTCAACTAAACAGACTCAAGATTTCTTCATTAAACTTGTATGTTCTGCACTGTAGGAGCAATTTCACGACCGTACACCCTACACCATCATGTTTGGACCTGACAAATGTGGTGAGGACTACAAGCTGCACTTCATCTTCCGCCACCAGAATCCTCTGAACAAAGACATGGAGGAGAAGCACGCCAAGAGGGCCGACGTCGACCTCAAGAAGTTCTACACTGACAAGAAGACTCACCTCTACACATTGGGTATGTAGCTTATAGGAAAAGAATATATGTGTGTGTTTATGGTAAGTGTTGCTGCTATACAGTACCCATTGATTTAATAAAAAAAGTAACTCTTACCTGCGTTTCATGTATGTCATCTGTGCTTTTCTCATTGTTTTCACATATTCTCAAATGCTGCGTTTTTCCCTGTCGTCAGTGCTGAACCCAGACAACAGCTACGAGATGTTGATCGATCAGTCCAGTGTGAGCCGTGGGAACCTGCTGCACGATGTGGTGCCTCCAGTCAACCCTCCCAAAGAGATGGATGACCCAAATGACTCCAAGCCTGAGGACTGGGACGAGAGGGCCAAGATTCCTGACCCTGAAGCTGTCAAGCCTGATACCTGGTGACTGCAACCTCCATACTCGTAGACGGAACAGATTTTGTTTCAGATTTAACATGTTTAAATGTAAAGGCCTCTGTAACCTCAGTAAATGACAAACATTGATGTGTGTTCGCCAGGGATGAGGATGCACCTGCTAAGATTGAGGACCCTGACGCTCTGAAGCCCGAGGGCTGGCTGGATGATGAACCAGAGTTTGTCCCTGACCCTAATGCAGAGAAACCAGAGGACTGGTAAATAAGCTCATTCACAACAGTTCCACAACAATAAACCCTCAACAAGCCTTTGAGTAAGGTTATTTATATGAAGAAATGATTCAGCCTGACAGCTCTCCTCTCTCCGTGTCCTCCTCTGTGTGCAGGGATGAGGAGATGGATGGAGAGTGGGAGCCACCACAGGTTCCTAACCCAGCCTGTGAGACAGCCCCTGGCTGTGGGGAGTGGAAGCGCCCAATGATCAACAACCCTCAGTACAAGGGCAAGTGGAAAGCCCCACTGGTGGACAACCCCAACTATCAGGTAACGGCTGCTTTTGGCTTCTTAGAGTTTGATTTTATTGCAGAAAAATCAAACATAAGCATTGATAACTGATCAGTTTATAACTATTTACTGTTGCTAGTTTTTGTTTTTTAAAACATGAATGAAACTCTGAAATACTCAGCAAAAACTGTTATTTGTTTGCTTATTTGTGTTATATGCGCATACACATGCTGTATGTTTGTGCTGCAGGTGAAAACATCACATGGTCTTTTTCCTCTAATCATTTACTGTGACTTCTCCCAAGGGGGTCTGGAAACCTCGTAAGATCGATAACCCGGATTACTTTGAGGACCTGCAGCCGTTCAGGATGACACCTTTCAGAGCTCTGGGCTTGGAGCTGTGGTCCATGACCTCAGATATCTACTTTGACAACTTCATTATCACCTCTCACAAGGAGGTGGCTGACCGCTGGGCTTCTGACAGCTGGGGACTAAAGAAACTGGTGGCCAGCGCTAACGAGGTCAGTGTGATATAAGTACAGCGCCTTTACACATACTTACATACAAACGGTGTGCATACAGTATACCACAAGGCTGTCAGTCTCACTGCCTTTGCTCTCCGGTCTATCCTCCTCTCTCCATCCCACCAGCCGGGAATTTTTGCTCAGCTGTTGATGGCAGCAGAGGAACGACCGTGGCTTTGGGTGATCTACATACTGACAGTAGGCCTGCCCATTGGATTGGCTGTGCTCTTCTGCTGGCCTAAGGTACTGTGAAACTGCTGTGTAATTCATTTATATCAGATCATATACCTCTTTTATGCAGAAGTTCATCAGAAATGCCTCAAAATCTTTTCTCTCTGTCCCAGAAATCAGAAGATGACTACGTGTACAAGAAGGTGGATGTGCCCCAGGCTGATGTAGAAGAGGAAGAGGAGGAGGAGGAGGAAGAGGAGGAGGCAGTAGCAGATGAGGAAGACAAAGCAGCTGAAGCTGCAGAAGGAGCAGCAGCCGCAGGTCAGACAATCTAATGCTTGTACTGTTTTGGCCACAGTGTTATACTTTAGATCGTATTTCGTGATCCTCACTGTCATCATCTTTACTCTCTTCTAATGCAACAGAGGAAGCCGAGGAGGATGCTGCAGATGCAGGAGGGGACAATCTAGAGGTGGATGATGAAGAAGAAGAGGAGGAGGAGGAGGAGGACGATGAGGAGGAAGAGGAGGAGGAGGAGGAGGAGGAAGAGGAGGAAGGAGAAGAGGAAAGCAAAGCTCCAGAGAGAACATTAGAAGATGAGGTTGGTGTTGCTTTGAGCTGTTCTTACCTGCACAGCAGCATGAGCTGATGGTGTTAGGTGATATGTGAGGTTCCTTTCCTCTGGGAATTAATACCTGGAACCAGATCCTCAGATTTGATGACCTGCTTTCCACTGTACCTTAATCTTTAAAAGGTTACACATTATCCCAATCAGCAATTCAGCTGACTCAGGATGATATGGGATGTTTTAGTTTGATAGTTTTTAAGTTTTAAGCTTCTTCAAGAATTGTGTGTCCACCTGTTTCATTAAGTAGCAGATCAATTTTTTTCTATATATGATCTAAAGTCTTTCTAACAGTGTGAAATAAATGGAAAATATCTCGACAACAATATATTAAATTTCACAGCAATGTGACAGCAGCTATTGCGAGTGGATCTGTTTGTCCCGAAAGTGTGATTAGCCACCACACTTGTTTTAATATATGTTAGGGTGATGGTTTTACTCAAGCTGATGTCTTATGGTCTGAGCTCAGGGCTAGAACATCATGGTTTTGTATTTAGTTTCTTAAGGCCACAGAGGTAACAGCTTATCATGATTTTTGTGCTTGTATCATGCCATACTGGTGCAAGGATCTTAAAGGTCCCATATTTTACACTTTTCTGGAATTTTATGTGGTGTTGATCCATAAGAAGATGTATTTGGGGTTTTTAGTACCATAAACCATCTCAGTGTAGTTTTACATCTCTTTTGGGCTTCTCTCTGGAGCTCTAGTAACAACAGGTCAGTGATTGTTGGGCATGGCAAAGAGCAGCGATTGTTTTGCTGTGACATCACAAAGTTAAGGAAGTCCTGACGGCTTGTTTTAGGACAGTTCTTGAAGACGGGCTATGTGCATTTTGTCCATGGATTACGCACTTTGATACTTTCACAGTATTAATATAGAACTTTAAATACTGTCAACTCTATGGCAGGGTTAAACTTAAAGTGGTTGTGCAGGTCCTTCATATTGATTGAACTCAATTCACTTTCCTTAAACTCGAATTTCCAAGCAGCTACAATCAGTGAGTTTATATTAGCAAAGGGTCACATGACTACTTGTATATGAAGTCATTTATAGTGACTTTAGAGACCTTTTTAGCATCGTTGTTTTGGTTTTTTGGCTGCAACTTTGTTATTACTTACAAGCTTCAGCAGGCAGCTAATTTCCTCTGTACACTACCTGCTCAGCACCAAATGGGAGACAGACTAAGTTGGAGACAAGTTGGTGAATGCAGCGGAACATTTAGAAGCTAAAGAGCAGATGTTTTTTAGGAGTTGGTGAAGATCAAAAGAGATCTTAACAGGAAAGTGGGACCTACAATCATCAGGCTAGCTAACTCCAAATCAAGCTTATGTTGCGCTGTGTCTACTGGATGTATAAATAGGCAGCTGTTTCCTAACAAGTTCACTATGAACTTAAAATATGCTAAAATGTTCACAACATGTTTCCAATGCCCCCAAGTGGCTGAAAAATCTATCTTGTGAAGTATTGACAGGAATGTTTATCACATCACCCGTGTTCATGTGACAAACAAAGCAGGGACACACTCAAAGAAAATTGCTCCATAGAGCTACTTCCCTAATAATTAATGCAGGTTTAGGGAATATGTTCTGTCCTTAAAATGTCTCCAATAGCACCTGGTGGACCCATGAGTGTCACATTAATGTGTTCATTGATATTGTCACACTTGGTGGTTGGCCTTTCATTGTGCAGACACAAACTGAACAGCGCCATTCACTCCCCTCCCTTTGTTTAGACGACTTCATGTCTCTGACACTGTGTGTCCTTGTGCACAGTGAGAAATGTGCCGAGTCAGAGAGTCTGGCAGCTCTTGTTTTCATTTTCAGTGATTGCACTTGACATTATAAAATCTTTTAAAAATAAAACTTGACTTGATGAAATTTCCATTGATAAGGTGGGGACTGACTCTACACTTTTGTTAATAATCTGGTAAGTTTGGTGGTAAATGCAAGTGATTGTTATGACTCATCCCTTAAATTTGTTTTTTTTCTTGCCCTTTTTTTTCCACTCACATTCTGGTCCACAGCCAAAGGAGGGAGGAGATGTCGGTGAAGAGAGCCAGAAACAAGCTGTGAGAAAGAGGAGGGTACGGAAAGACTGAAGAGGTGAACCCCACGCCTACTGTCTCCTTGCCCTCCCAATGGAAAGGAGGTGGAAGGGCCATATCTGCCGCTGCCCCCTACCCCACCCGCCACCCCTTTTGAGTGGAGCAGCATGTAATTCCTCCAAACCACCTGGTAGCCTGCATTCACCCTGGCTGCCCCATCCACGTCTTCTCCATCCCTCGGCCACACCCACCACAGGTCTGCAGTCTCCCAAACCACATCCTATATCATTCCTCATCCCGTCTCTCCTCTTCCTGTCTGCTCATTCAACTATCAGATGAATTCCATGGAGATTTTGTGCATTTAGCTGATTTCCTCCCTCCCTCCTGAGCTTCTACGCTTTCTTCATTCTTCTCCCCCCTCTATAAGCCATTGCTGTCAAAATGCCTGTCAGCCTGAAAATCCCACGCCTCTTCCACCTCTGTTCCTGTTCAGCCCGTCTCCGCTGTCAGTCTTCTCTCTGAGTATACGCCATCATAGATCTACCACTGTCCCCTCTGAGAGCGAAGGCAGCACTGAGTGTCTGCACTGCTGTCGATTTCCAGTTGTTCGTACCATTTTACAACATATCATAGGGGCCACATCTCAGAAGTTAGACTTTATTGTTGTGTCCTTTGTTTTAAAGAACTTGTGCGAGGACACTGTTTGACAAAGTTCCTTCCTTGTTTGAAATCGTTCGGGTTTCGAGAACAGGCCAGGAGGAGAGGACGCCGGGCTGTGAGGAAAGGCTGTTTGAGATGTTACTGCAGTGTCAGGGCATTTCAGTGAAGTCGCCTCAGCTTAGGTTTAAAAGATTACCTCTTTAAAAATGGATGTTCTGTTTAGATTTTAGCTAGTTTGTCAGGAGCATCAGTTACTTTTATGTGTTTTTTACTAAGTTATCGTAATTTAAGAGTTGAGGATTAGCACTGATAACACTATTTATTGGTTTTAAAATTTAAGCCAGTATGAATAAAGATTTCATAATGCAGTGTTTTGAGTGACTTGAGGCAGTTTTCTTAAAGATGATATACCGCTGATGAGCTTAGTCTGAGCCCAGGCTTGTATGAAATATTTTTTAAAAACTGACATTGTCAGCGCTTGCAGCAAAAACAGATTATCTTGAAAACCTCTACCATCAACTGTCAAAAAGACAGAATAAATGTGGATTTCTGCAGCAGGCAGCTGGATATTAAACCTGTGAAGACATGTCTCATTCAGTCAGTACACAGCAGTGCTTTCCCATAACGTCTAGACTAGCTGGAGTTCCGATCTAGATTGTTAACTGGGGAAGACGATGCTAAATTATTTGTTTTATATTATTGTCTCAAGCTTTTGTAGTTCACATTCTCGCCATATGCTGGCAGATATCCCTGTTTACATTTGTTTGCAAATTGTACATTGCTCTTGAAAATAAAACTATTTAATACAAAGAAAATTATCTGATCGAATGTGTTTCTTCACATATAAAAAATCTTCGAGATTCGATTTGGTTTTCTCTTGATCCTCTTGATGTTGGTTTATGTAGGTGACAAAAGACCTGGAGAATGAAGTGATCTTAGGTTTTTATTAAAACAAAAACATCTAAAGGCAAAGGTGCAGGGTGTCTACACACAAGACAAGATGGTACTGGGGCGTGTGTAGGTAGCATGTCAGAAATTAATGAAATACTACTGTACAACTGTTAAAAATATCAAAATAACTTCAATAGATTACAGCATATACAGAGTTTGAAAGCCTCCTGTAACTGCCAATCCCTCCCTTTTCAAACAGGACCAGAGCCACTTCCTGATGTTTTCACACGAATTACTGTTTTCTTCAATTTAAAGGGAATAAAAATATGTTAAGATTACATGACTTTTCATCTCCTCCATCTACTTATCCCTTTTTTATCTGACGCAGCAGAGGCTTAAGAGGACACACCCTCCACTCCGCTGTAAAGACATCAGCTCGTTTTACGGTCAGACCCATCCTCTAGCAGGCAATGCATTCCAGTCCTGACTGATTGGATCAATAGCACTCAAGGCCTCTTTACTGCTTTTGTTCTTGCAGTTAAAGAGAAAAGAATCTTTTTTTTTTAACCTTCTCATCTCCCAGTCTCACCTCTTACTCGTGTCGTTCTGCACTCTCCTCCCCCATCGCTGTTACAGGCTAAGGACACAAAATGTAACATACAGGGTTTGTCTCTGCCCTCATGACCTCACCATTTCCTCTGTCCGTCCTGCTTTACAGTCATTTAGGACTTGATAAATTTAAAGGGTTGCAAATTTAAGTACAAAAAGAAAATCTTGTCTCTTTGATTTAAAATTCAACTACTTGCAATAAAAGCATCACTGATGTTAGTTAAGACCTACGTTATTATGGAGTGCTAGTTAACATTTAGTTCCTCTGTGCTTTTACTTTAGTTGCTGCAGAGCTCTCCATGGTGCCTGTATCTAGTATCCACCTACTATTGTTAACAAGTTCTCAGTAGCTCCATCCAGTCTGCATTTCAGCAATTAATGCCGTTTCATAATATGCTAAACTGTTCAACAAAAATAAACTAATCTTAAAAGGTGTATGATTCAAACATGCAATTTAAATTTATTTCTCATTTTCAGTAATACTGTCCAGTTTTCCAGCTTTTAAGTGGAGGAATAGTCATGCTTTATACAGACGTCCAAGAGCTACCAAAAACTCAGATCCAGCTGACGTAGAAAATACTTTTACAAAAATAAATAAATAAATAAAGGTTGAAATCATTGTTGAAAATGAGGATCATGGTCAAACAGTATTTGTAATATCTATGGTTTGTTTCAGCCCACTCACAGATCAGTTAAGACAGGAACACTGTGTCAGAGAGTTTGGAAAGCCACAGAAAAGTCAGAATCGTCCTCAAACAGAAAACCAAGCAGGCAAAACATAGCTAAGAATTATTTTACAGATACTAGTTGGACAGAGACAATTAAGAAGAAACTCAAGGTACAAATGACCCTTATCCACTTCATATACACACCCTGGTTGTGTTTGTGTGTTAGTGGTTAAAGGGTGAAGTCTACCTCATCTGTAATGTGGAGAGGAAGCTGCCGCTAAACAGACCTGGGCCAGACTAACATGAAATTTATCTATTTCTGAGCCAACTGGATGGGTGACAAAGTCAGTTTATGTTTTTAATTGTTAAAATGTTAGTTTTGATCCAGGTGAGAGAGCTCAAATGCTAAATACAGAAAACACCCAGGTCTGCGGAGAAAACAAACCCCTCTCCATATCTTCACAGTGGGTTTCCTCTCCCAGCCGCTGACCTGGGACCTCCGTTTTGTTTCTTTTTCCCCAAGGAGAGCTCACTTCCGTTTGCTCTTAGTGTCAGTGGTCTGGAAGACACTGGAGGCCGACATGAGGTTCTCGATGTACTGACCAAGGACCTGGTTTTCTGACTTTAACTTCAGGTTCTCCTCCTTGACTGCATCGACTCGCGCTGACAGGTCTGGAACAGAAACAAAGAACGAGAAACTGAAGCACGGAATTCATCATTGTCAAATAAATTCAGTGATATCAACTTGCCCTGTCTCGGGGTCAGGTTATGCTAGAAAAGAAGTAGTTCATACGACATGTCGAAAGGGCACACTTGAAGGTGGAGTAAAAGTCGGCAGAATCTTCTGGAAGGCATTCCAAAGCAGTTCTGTGGTCACAGCCTCTCAAATGTGAGGATTTGGTGGTGCAGGGTTTGGAGTTTCTAAAGGTTCTCAACCATGTCACAAGCCGGTCTGATGAAGCTTGCAGATGCCTTCAAGTTTAATCTACATTTTAGAAGTGTCTACCTCACTGGCTAATTCAACAATAAATGTAGCTGCTACCGCTAAATCTTAAATAAATGTCAAATGTTGTGAGAGAAATGTACATATATGTAGTTATCAGTGTAAACCGGAAACCTGTGTTCAGCTACAGACTTTTTTCTATCTGAAAAATATTTCTGTGACTTAAAATTCGCCAACTATCATCACTTGTACTGACCATTATCTGGACTGTGTTTATGTTTGTGGTATTTCTGGGTGTGAAGGTGAGATGGAGAGGGAGCAAAACAGAAGTGGAGTGAGCACATTAGCATAATAGCGACAGAAAGAAAAGAGCAGCAGCACAGAGATAAACATCCAGTGTTTTAAAACTTCGATGATGAAAAGAGAAGGAAACACATGTTTTTGTGGAGAGAACAAGTGCAGTGTTTGGGGTCTTCTTTAATCTGATTTATATTAGAATACAGAATAGGTATTTACACACAGGGAGTTAAAAGGCTTTTGGTTACTTTTGGTGCAAATTTTATCATCCAAGACTTTAAGAGCCTTCTAATGTCAAATGACTTAAAAAAAAAAAATCCTGTTAGCAAATCAGATCATACTGGGCTCTGTTGTATAATTTACTAACCATGGGGGCAGTTTTTTCCAACCCCAAAGAGGACACAGTAAAATACAGAGGGATATGTGTGTTTTACCTTCCAGAGTGTGCTGAAGCTCCAAAACTTGATTTATTAACCTCGTCTTCTCCTCCATCTCCACCTGGTTCTCCATGTCTCCTAGAACAAACACAAGCAGTGATGCTGTTAAAATGCAATTATAACACACCGTCTCATGATCATTAGTGAAAATTTTGTAAGCAGACGAACCATCTATGTCGCAGTTCATGATAGAAAGCTCGTTCTCCTGTTTAGTATACAGGACTGCAGATTCACCGTCCACTGTAAAAACAAAACCATTGATGATCAGATGTGAGTAAAGGAGATTTTCCCTGTTTTGTCTGTTTAGTCGAGGTGGTAAGACACACATCCTGACAGATGTTGTCTTATGATTCATTTAGTTGGTAAATGATGGTCAAAACAATAGTAGGTACATGGCATTTGATGAAATTGCACAATTTTTCACAATTTAACATTTGATTTCATAAAGCTGTGTCCATTTTTTGTGTTAGCAGAAGTGGGTTGTTATTCATTCTAAGCAGAATCACTAACCATTTTCAAATGGAAATTTCTTTTTCTGGTAAAAGCTTCTGCCCCAATATAAGACTGGGTTCTCAGCCGAAGTCTGGCCCATACACTTCCACACTGGAACTAAATTTTGCTGCTATCCTCCGTCAAGATGTTTCGCCAGAATTGGTCCAGATGTGGAAGTAGCATCTGACAGTCATGCTGTATGTGGGCCAGACACGGGCCAAGGAACAGGGCTTATATTGAGACAGAAGAAACACAAATGTGTGACCTAAGTTTCCGCCTGAATAATGATGCTGTCTGTCTAAATTTGGATTTTCTATGCAAACACGCTATACCTAATATAATGTTAAACACGCTTCCCATGACTCCTGTTGTGTGCCATAAAGCTTCGTCCACATTATGTTAAATCTAACAGCTGCGAAACAGAGTTGTATGTGGGTGATGGCAGCAGGGTGGAAGCAAACACCGCACCCAGGCTGTGAAATGATGCTGCCCAGTGTTGACATGCAAAACTATCACTGAAATAACTGATGAGCCAAACTCTTCTTTAGATACTGGCAGACTCCATTGTAGGTCTACTTTACAACAATCTCCTGTATTTAATCACTACATCCACAAATAACCCGGAGACTAACGACTAATTACAGTAGTTCGGCCATGAAGAATTAATATTAATCCAGCACAACAAAACTCCAGTATTATCAGTCAGCCTGTTAGCGGTTAGCTGCTACTTTCACTCCGGTCCATCTTGTTTAGTCTTTCTCGAAGATGGGTCATTTTGGTAATTCAGCAGCTCGGCTGGACAGACCTCCATAAATCCGACATCCGTAAACAGAATGAGCAAACTCATATCACACCCCAAAAAAAGCGTAGGCGTTTTTAATAAACGTGCACATGTAATATATGACCATAGGTTGATTAATAAGGAGACTGATAGCAAATCACTTTCAACAAAAATGGGCAAAAGCGGGGGTGTCCGATAATAGAAACGTGTGTACTAGCTTTGTAAGCTAGCTCTGCCGCTAGCTACAACATAACAACTTCAACACCGAATGCGAGGTTGTTGTCTCACCACAGCAACCAAAACTAGTTAGTCTTGTTAGTCGCATATTTAAAAACGACTTTCTGACAAATACAATTTATAACGTGTCGGCGGACATCGATCGTACAGCTGCTAACGGCTACAAGCTAACCGCTGCTGCTAGCTAGCTTTGGCTTCAAATGTAATCGGAAAAAAATGGCTTGGATTTTGCTACGCAACGTTTTCTGGTACAGCAAACCAACTAACCCGTTTAAAACTCACCGAAAGCAAGAAATGACCCTGTAAACAGACTGGAGGCTCTGAGGTGGTAATGGTGGTGTTAGCAGAGTTTCACCATCAATATCGTCATCACGACCTCACTGTGTGTACGTCACCACACTGACCGACAGGGGGAGCAACTACTACTACACACACACACACACACACACACACACACACACACACACACACACACACACTGCAGTCCTAACAGACGCTCAGGCATTCAGTCTTTCCCCCTGGTAGCAAATCACACTCATACGCAGACAGTCATTGCAGCATTTGGCAATGAAAACCTGACCAGCAATGTCAGCCCCACCAGACCTTTGTGTGTGTGTGTGTGTGTGTGTGTGTGTGTGTGTCTGTGTGTCTGTGTGTCTGTGTGTCTGTGTGTCTGTGTGCGTGTTTGTTCTGTCTGTCCACCTGCCTGTATGCATGCATCTCTCCCTCTGTCTCTCTCTCTCTCTCTCTCTCTGTGTGTGTGTGGTATCCTTGCAGCTTCTGTGCTGTCTCTGCTCGCTCTGAGGAGTCCATATGCTGCTGCTTGTTAGCCAAACCAAACCCTGGGGACACTGCTGCTTCAACCAATAGGCTTCTATGTCCAGTCTATTCTGCCTCCATCTTTTTTTCTCAGCCTCTCTTTTGCTTTCTTGCTCTGTGCATCTGTTTCCCAAACCCTGTGAGATATCACTGGCTAAAAGTGTTGTATGCCCAACTGCTAACATTTCTAAACATGTGCTCTCCGGCTCTCTCTGAAAGACAGTTTATTAAGGACAAAGCTGTGAGTGAGCACATAAGAGATCCAAGCTGTACGCAATCAACAAGTCTAGATTTGAATCTGCAGAGATGTTTGAGGAGAAAATCCAAGCTTTGTCATTTTCATTTGTAATGATAAATGCTAAAACATAAGTTAATGCAACAGTAGCACAAGTGGAGAAGAATAATTAAATCAGGGAACTTACTCAGTAATGTCAACAATATCTATCTAAAGTAGCTAACATAAGCACTCAAAAGCTCATGGTCATACCAGACCAAGTCACGCTGTGAAGGCAAAAGCCTCAAGTTTATAAAATCGAGCAAAGGTGTGTTTTACAGCTTATGAAATTAACTCTTCATTTGTAAGAGGAAGATTGTATTTTTTTTCTTCCTAAAAAAAGTCAAACAGTTTTGCTTTAAACTAATATAAAATAAAATGTAACTGTGCAACTTCATGGCAGTTTTTTGCTTAAAATGTACCAGATCATTTTGGAGATAATTTGACATTTCCACAACTGTCATTATATTTTCTACCTCGCAAGTGGAAGCATAGCCCTGTGGTGGCCCGGCTGAATGCCCATTGTGTATGCAGTGTTCATTTTTTGTGTCATGTATTGCACAGGTTATTGAAATCATTTGTGTCCCATTTTTGGGGTTTTTAGTACCATAAACCGTCTCAATGTAGTTTTACATCTCCTCTCTCAGGCCTCTCTCTGGAGCTCTGGTAACAACAGGTTAGTGAGCCAATCAGAAGAGAGACTCGGAGAAATACCCTCTCTTCTGATTGGCCGATTGTTTTCTGAGTGATTGAATAAAAATATAGCAGATTTCAGGTAAACACTTGGAGAAACCAAATCCTGCAAGTTGGGATACTGGGTCCAGGTACGCTGTTCTGGGGGCATGGCTATTTGTTGTAACATCACAAAGTTACGGAAGTCCTGATGTCTTTTTTTTAATACAGTTTTTGAATACAGGCTGTGTGCATTTTGTCTTTGGATTGTGCACTTTGATACTTTCACAGTATTAATATACCACCTACACCTGCTTTATAATCTTTCTATAAGAAGAAAGTCTGGGACCTGCAGGCTCTGGAGAATGCAAAAGAGTGTTTGACAACATTGTGTGGCTTCTCCAGATTTTGCTTTTAAGGTTATGGCTGGATCAGAAGCCAGGCTGCCCCAGGGCCCGAGAACCTAAGGGGCCCCAGATTCACTGTATTAGTTAGTTTCTGATCATTTAAATAATTCAACACCTGTATTATTTCAAGTTGTGCTCATAGGGTGCATATTCTTAGAAATACATTTTCTTTTGCAGTCTCCAAACATAGATTATGGTTGTGATTCTTGCCTGTTTGTGCTAACAAATCTCACAATCATTTTACTTGTTGATTATCAGTGAAATTGATTTTTGATGGTTCAACAGGTTTTGTTGTTAATGAAACAGTGCCTGTGGCACTGAGCTCACATTGACATCAGTTCATGCATATTCCTGTTTGTTGCAAATGTTGGTCAGACATTAATAGATACAAAGATAATTGAGAGTGTGTATGTGCTAAATGATACACAGTTAATTCATATAGTAAGAATTAAGACTGGATTAATCCTATATCATAACATTTTAGTTAAATGCTTTTCATCCTCATAGAAAACATTTATTTGTGTGTGTGTGTGTGTGTGTGTGTGTGTGTGTGTGTAAACAACAAATGTCTAGATATGCAGCGAGTGCCAAAGACAAAGCGATGCAGATTTGTTAGGAGCCACATCTCATTCCTGTCACAGCACAACACACCCACATCACCACTCTGGTTTTACAAGCTGTTTGTTTCTGCCTCATTGCCCTTTGTTCAGTCACATATTTATAACAGCTGCTTTAACTGCCTGTCTGTCACGTGTACTGTCCCTGACAACACAGAAAAAAAGTGTATAATGAAATGAGGAGTTTGATTACATGTGTAGATATTTTTATAGTCTAAACAAACGGTCACTTAACACCCAAAGATCTTGTTCCATATTTACAATGTCTTTTTCAACAGCAAGTCTGTCTATAGAGCTATATAATTTATCTAACAAGAATGTTTGCAGAGAGGGATTTAGAAGTGTAGAAAGTTCCTGTCGTGGTCTCAGAGATCTCATCTAACATATTAGAAAATGAAGTCTGTTTAATATTCTGACTGGTTAAATGAAACTGGAGCCAAATAACAAGAAACTAGTAGCCTACTTTTCACTGTGTGTCCATGAAAAATCAGAGGCAGAAAAGATCTAACTGTGGAAAAACAACTAGTCCATTGAGGTTTTACCTGTGTCATCTGCCAGAGAGATGTTAGTGAATGTCCCATCATCCTCGTAAACCTCGGCCTCCATGGCCTGACTCTCCTCTCCTTCCTCCAGGTCTTTATCACTCAGAGTCACTCATTAGTGTTTCGACTTTCTCTCTTTCTTTGTTTAAACTTTGCTCCTGTTTCTTCTGTCTGTCTTCGTGTCCTTTGGCCCCGCCTCCTCACACACCTGCTGCTTGAATCATTCACATCGTCAGGGTTAGCTGCCCTACCTGACTGGTGGCTCAGGTTACAGAGCTGTCATTGCAACGGGTCACCATGGTGATCGCTGGACCACAACATGAGACAAACTGCCGAAGCCTGCAGGAAAACTATCATGGGGTCAAAGTTCAAGCTCATGTAAACTCTCGTGAAAGGAGGCACACACACACACACACACACACACACACACACACACACACACACACACACATACAAATCACACAAATCACACACAAATATGAACTGTAGTCAATTACTAAAGGTTTTAGTGCACAGTTGACCTAAAATGACTGGAGGGGACATGACTGGTAAACCGGTTCCACTGGATCTGTGGGAGCAGCCTGCACTCTGGTGGTTAATGCTGAACACTGCAGAAAATGTCAGTGTCAGGCTACAGAGACTCCATCGTGTTCCAGCTCAGAGCAGCCTGCAGTGACAGTGCAGTTTACACATACAGCCATACAGAAGACCTGTGGCTTTCATGGTCCAGTACCTGTATGCTGAGGAGGAAGCCACTGAGCCTGATTATGAAAAAAGATTTTTAGGAATTTTTTTTAAAAAAAACTACAGTAAAGCTGCAATCAAGTTAGTGGTACTTTCATTTGGTATCTTTACAATATTATGGAGCAGCTGAGGTGAAAAACACAGAAACAACAACAGAAAAAATGACAGGAAATAGAAGAATAGGACCTACCACATAAATCATGAATAGAGCTTGAAAGTTGAATTTCGACTCTAGAAAAACATCAATCCAACCCCATCTCCTACAAATAATATATATGATATATGCTAACAACTTGCAACAGCAACGAGTCGTCCAACTTAAATGGCCATATAACTCGTTTGACCTTTGAATAGGAGCATCTCCTGAATTAGTGCTCCTACAGCGGTAGGAGATGTACCAGAGATAAACTGTTAGAAATCGGCAGAAAGATAAATAATTAATGAATCAAAGACGTTACAATGCTGAGGTGAAGGTTTGGTTTGGTTCAGACACAAAAACACCATGTTTAGGTTTAATGAAAGATCATGGTTTGGGTTAAAGAACCTTCCTGGTCACGGTCACAATAATAAACACATGTTTAAGGTTAGAGAACCCTCATGGTCATGGTTAAAAGAGACAACGCTGACAGCTAACAAACAGCAGTCTCCTGTGTTAAAGTCTAATGTTTTGTCTGAAGAAGACAACTGCTGCTTGATAAGGACTGGAAATCATATGTACTATTATAACACAAATAATACAAACAAGAGAAGGACACTGAAGCAGACATGTCAAATTGAGTATTTAAGTCTAGCCAGCTGATAATAACTACTTACACACTCTGTGCCAACAGTATGAATTACAGCAGATTGTGGTTTTGTTGTCTGGAAGACAATGTGTGTTTGCATCTGCACTTGTCTGAGTTTGTATGTCTCTGTGTTTGTATCTATTTATGTGCGTATTTGCTCATGTTTTTGGTGCATTTAAGCTTTGGTGCATCTATGCTCTTTTCTGTTTGAGTGTGTCTGTACTTACTGATCTGTCTGTGTGTGTTTTGCACAGGATTCACCTGCCCCATAAACCCGGGGGAGAAGCCGACATTTATGGGAAGAATTTCACGGGAGAGGGAAAACCGATAACAGGCAACAGTTTACTTGGAAACCAAACCTGACCTTCAGTGCTGCTGATCTCAGATCAGTTATTATTATCACTGACACAGGATGAAGAACAACACTGCCAGCCTAAGTTAGCAGGTGACACTAAAGCTGCTGTTCCACCCTAAACACTCGATAAACGCTCAAAGGCAAGTGGAGCACAAAGGTTCAAGGTTTACAGGCTGGTGGAGGATGATGTTTCAGTGTTTAGAGTGAAGTTTGGAGTGAAACAGATCTGTGTGTGTGTGTGTGTGTGTGTGTGTGTGTGTGTGTGTGTGTGTGTGTGTGTGTGTGTGTGTGTGTGTGTGTGTGTGTGTGTGTGTGTGTGTGTGTGTGTGTGTGTGTGTTCATGTGTTGGGGTGTGATGGTTAGTGACCAGTGTTAGGTTCTAGCACCTGTGGTTCTCTGGACCCCAGAGACAGTTTGACCCCCCACACAAGCTGGAGGCTGTATACTGAAAGATACCCCCCCCACACACACACACACACACACACACACACACACACACACACACACACACACACACACACACACACACACACATACACACACACACACACACACACATCACAGCTTGATTCTGGCAGAAAATGAATCCACTGTGAGACAGTATGTGTGACCTTTTTTTCTGGCCCCTGTGTGAGTGTGTCAGCGGGCTTGTTTTCATGTCCTGGTGGGGACCTCAACCTGAATACACCCCAACCTGTGGGGACTTGTGAGGACAGAAATTGAGGCCCTCACAGGTAGAGACTCTGCTTCTTGAGGGTTAAGACTTGATTTTAATGTTTGGGAATACATCGTGTCAATCATGGCACAGGGATATTGTGTGTATGTGTGCGTATGTGTGTGAGTGTGTGTTCTGTAATACCTTTCTCCATATTTGTAGTGAATGCAAAAGTGTTTGTTTGTTTGAAATGCAACCAGTGTGTTTTTTTCTCCTTTTGTGTGTGTGTGTGTGTGTTATTATTGCTGTGCAGCGACATCCAAGAAGCAGAGCAAGATTAGTAGCAGGATTAGCAGCATCCACAGAGAGGGGATGTATTGGTGTGGTTGTTCTCTCTCCTCTCTCTCTCTCCCCTGTGATAGTCCACAGACCAGATGCCCACTTTGGCACCGACACTCTGCCAGTGTTATGCTAGGCATGGGGCATACACATACAACACACACACACACACACACACACACACACACACACACACACGCATGTCCATACACATTGACGACAAGAGGCTGTAAAAGAGCACTCGTCCATCTGTCCATCTCCCAGCTACTCTGGTACTGAGCACATCAGCTTGTTTGTGTGTCCCTATGGCGTCCTCAGTGTTGTGTGTGTGTGTGTGTGTGTGTGTGTGTGTGTGTGTGTGTGTGTGTGTGCGTGTGTATGTGTGTGCATGTGAGAGAGAGAGAGAGAGAGAGAGAGAGAGAGCATGTCTCTGCATCTCTGCAGTATGTAAGCTAAATTCAGCACTGTGCAAAAATTCAAATAAATTGCTCCCTTTAGTTTTCTGCAATTCAGGGGACTGCAGAACTTGAATTATCAAAATAATAATATTCCCTGGATATTTCTTGTTTTTTAAAAAACATTTATTTATTTATTTTTAGTTTTAATGTTTGTTTCTAGTTGTTTCTGCAGAAATAAGTAAAATGTTTTTTTTTTAAAAAGTAAGAAAAGCCTTGAATCATGATGGGATGACTGACGTATGTGTCTGTGTTTTTTGATAGGTTGTTGAGATGAAGCTCAATAGTTATGTGATTAATTTTAGTACTTTTAGTACTGACTTTAACATCATATGAATCATTGAAAGCAACATATTAGACCTGGTGATATTCAAGAAAAATGAGGAACCCAGATGACTAGACAGGGGAGAAAATTCAAGCTGGATCCCAATTATAAATTACGTACTATCACTATACACTGTCTCTTTAATATGGATCTTTATTGGCAAGTGAGTGAACCCTTTGATTTGATTTACAATCCAACAATTAAAGCTGGAAATCATCATAGTTATCGTTCTGCGGCCATTGTCCTTAGAAGTGGGTGTCCAGCTAAGACATCTCCAAAAGCGCAGCACAGAATGATGAGTGAGGTAAAAATGAAGCTGAGAGTAACAGCTGAAGGTTTAAAATAATCACTGGAGCTGATTAACATCTCTGTTCATGAGTCTAATATACACAAATCATTGAACAGACATGGTGCCTAGACTGTCCATGGTAGGACACTATGGAGGAAGCTGGTCTATCACTGTGTGCCCGAAATGAGTTAAAACATAGAGCGTGGAAAGAGAGCACTGTGCACCATGAAAAAACCATGGTGAAGGTGAAGTAGGGTTGGAGGCAGCATCATGTTGTAGTGCTGCTTTGTTGCCTCAATGCCTGGACAGCTCAACATCATCGAAATGAATTCCCAAGTTCCAGGTATAGGGATGGGAATTGATAAGATTTTATAAATACCAATGCCATTATCCATTCTGCTTATCGATCCGATTCTTTATCGATTCCCTTATCAATTCCTGTGGATTTTCTGTGTGGAAAACAGTGGGCCTATACAGGTTTTCAGTGTCAATGACTCAAATTTTTATTATGAGTCTTTGAACATTATACAAGATACAAACTGTCTAACATGCTGTCTACCCTTTTAGGTCTGCATTGTATCAATTTATAAAAAAAAAAAAAAAAAAACGGCTCTCGGACGGGAGCCGACATCGTTCACTTAAAAGAGCCGGCTCGCTCGCTCGCGACACATCACTGTAATATGCTTCACTGCTCTGCTGAGACTGGGAAGCACTCAGCCCTCGTTGACCGGGGGCGTAGAGCGTCAAACACATGGCACTCCTGATATTTAATGCCCTGCTGCGTCTACAAATGTTTCATGTTTGTTGCTGGTGTTTCCACCCTTGTTTGAAACCTCAGTGCCACAGACATTACATGTTGCGCTGTTAGCGTCATTTTGTGTGAAATTAAGCCACACTTCCTCGACAACTGTCGTTTGCGCTGACTGCTTCTTGCGAAAGCGTGACGTCATTGTTTTGCAAGGCACGCGGAACTAAGTGGAAGGCCTCGATAAGGGAATCGTTAAGCATAAAGGCAAAAGATGTCGATGGATCGAACCAGTTGGAACCGGTTCTCGATTCTCATCCCTATCCAGATATATTGTATACATACACAAAACAATATTCAAGTTTGACAAAGTAAAAATACTACAGGATGAAATAAAATCCACCTGTTGGACTGGTCAGTCAGAACCCAGACCATTAGCCAGCCGAGATGCTGTG